ATACTGCCCCTAGAATTGGACGCCCTCTTTATACTTCCTCAGGTCTTCTACCTTGTACTCTATTGTCACAATAAGGATGAAACAAGAATGATTTTCTTTATCTATAATGCAGAAAAGCATCACAGTATTTAAGAACTATATTGCAAAATGGTGTAAATGTGTTTAATCCACATTTACACCAACAATGATTCATTCATAGGGCACCCTCACTGCTTTTTTTAAAGACTGACTGAATGTTTATGTTGAGGCAGCAGCAAAGTCTTTTCATAACCTTGTTGTCACATTTCACATGTAATATTTGCTCATAAAGAATGACATTGTGGATTGTTTTAGTTTAACAGTTTTTTTACCTGCAAAAAGGTTGTTTTTTTATCACATTTGAACCACAAAAGCATTTAATATTGTCGAGGAAATGTTCAGTGAAGCAAATTCTCTGAGGCAGCAACATCACTTATTGTGAATTTATTCAGCGTGTGTCGGAGAGCAGGCGCTGTCTGCTCCGATTCCAATGAAGACCAGATAAATACTTATGGCCGTTATGCTCGAACAGGCTGCGTTGCAGATAGGCTGTGACACTCTATGATGTAAGGTAACATTTAATATAAAGGGAACAAGATATGCAGATCACTGTGTCAGCGTGATGTCTGCTGCATCAGTGGAGAGAGCTAGTTACCAATGATGTGAAGAGAAAACCAACAAAATGGCACCAATGTGTTATTAAATCAACAAAATGCACAAATGTGTTGATTTTAATCTTGCATACACACAGAGTAGTTACAAAAGTACAGAAGTTACAGCCAAGTTGTCAGAGGTGTGGACTCGAGTCACATGACTTGGACTCGTCATTATTTTAATGACTTCTGACTTGATGAAATCTATAAAGACTTATGAATTGACTCGGACTTGAACGTCAATGACTTGTGACTTGAATCGACTTGCACCTGTTGACTTGATGATGACTTGAGCATGTTTGATATTTTAGCACAAAAGTGGCCCGACATGGACATAAATCATTCTTCGTTCTGGGTTTCATGTACTGTTAAATGCAGCAGCACTTTGTTTACAATCAGTTTCAGTTGAACTTTCTGCTTGTTGGAGCAAATAAATTAAGCTTTAAGAAGCTTTATTACTGGAATTTATTTATTATCATTGTCATTAAATTGAAGTTTGACAGATGACTTGATTATGAAATGAAAATTCAAAGTTAAGGACTTGGACTTGACTTGGACTTCCACATCATTGACTTTGAACTCAACTTGGACTTGACTCGAGACTTGACTGGAAAGTTTTGTGACTTACTTGTGACTTGCAAAGCAGTGACTTGGTCACACCTCTGTAAGTTGTCATGGATGTAGTTTTGGGGGAAGCAGGGGGGACATGTCTCCCCCACTTTTTTCCCAAAGTCACTTTTTGTCCCTGCACTTTTTACCGTCCAAAAACAATATTACGCCATATTAGATAGACACTGGTTGAGCACTAGGACCAAGCAGAAAACAACCACTTGTGTTGAAGCCTGTTTCTCATTAGAACCGTCCATAAGCTCATCTATTGGCTCTGCTGATACTTGCTAACGTGTGTTTGGCCGTTCCTGCCACCTGTGTAGTTAACAGGTCTGCATTCCTGACATTGCATAAAAGGGCATCTGGGCTGTAGTTTTATACTTATTTTTGTATATTTACTGTTCAAGACCCCCACCCCATACCCCCTTGTCTTCATGCCAGTTGTGTCCCCCAAACCCTCCACCCCCACCCCCACCCCCCCACTTCTAAAGTCAAAACTATGTCCATGCCAGTTGTCAAAATGTATTGGTTAGAGTTAACCTTTTCAGTGGCCTAGTGGCAGTGTCCATCCTGGGACTGGGATATTGGGGTTCAAGTCCCAGTTGGATCATACCAAAGACTTTAAAAATGGGACAAACGCCTCCCTGCTTGACACTAAGCTTTAAGGGCTTGAATTGGGCGTTCCCAAGTGTAGCCACAGCTGCAGATGTAATTTCACTAGTGTGTTATGATGGTTATTGGGTACTTTAACTTTGACTTCATAACAATTCAAATAAGAGCCCATAATTCCATACTACCTTCTACACCAGTGATTTAATCTAACATGGTCTTAAGTCTAGAAGTGATGAAGTGTTGATTGACATCATACACCTTATGACACTGTATTTGATCTTCTAGCTATTGGATGTGAAAACTATTGGCCAATATCTCCAAAACTGACCACGTTTTGTTGGTTGGGGTTATGGTCAGTTTGCCATGGTGGCCATCTTGAATTTAGTTGACTTAATAAATTGTTTATTACATTCTGAAAATGAAACTCAAGCAGTGGTTTACGAGATGCTCCATATTGTCAAGTGAATTTGGACATCTCACCAAAGAAATGCGTTCAGGTGTGTAGGTTTGATGTGGAGGAACTTGGTGAGGGTGACTCAGCTTGGCGTGGTTTCAAGCTGTTTCTATTAGTAACAGGTACCAAGTTGCTGCCTTTATTTCAGGACTTGCTTCCATGTGGTTTCGAGCGTGTCGAGCCAGCCCAAAAACGGGGCGTCAGAGACTCCTAGCCAATCAGTGCATTACTTGCGAATGTTGATTATCTTTAGTGCCCATCTCCAAAAGATGTTGTAATAAAGACTTTCTGAGCACAAAACTGAAACATGCCCAGCGGTTAGAGAGACATTAGCATACAACAGCCCCACACAGAGAGGCAGAAATATTATCAGCTTTTCTCGGCGAGCAATAAAAGAAAAACAGCTGGCGATATGGGGTCTATGTGTGGTTAATGGTGTAGTAGCAAGATCATTTGTTTTTGTACTGACCATACAGTGTATCATCAAAGATTTGCTTTCAAGCTAAGATGGGGTAAAACTGTTCTATTGTAAATATTTCGTAAAAATATGTAAATTTTCAGCAACCGTAGCAGGAAAATAGATGGAATACGTCCAACATTTACAGCACATCAAATAGCCAAACTAAAGATCTCCAAATCTTTTTTAAGTTAAAGTCCCATTAGTTGTCACACACACTGATGTGTGTGCGAAATTTGTTCTCCGCATTTGACCCATCCCCTGGACGAGCGGTGAGCTGCAGACACAGCCGCGCTCGGGAACCATTTGGTGGTTTAACCCCCCAATCTAAACCCTTAATGCTGAGTGTCAAGCAGGGAGGTATTGGGTCCCATTTTTCAAAGTCTTTGGTACGACCCGACCAGGAATCAAACCCTGATCTCCCAGTCTCAGGGCGGACACTCTACCACTAGGCCACTCAGCTGGTATTTTATATTATTTATTTTATAATGCAGAACTCTCATCCACTACGATAAAACTTTGTCTTCTTCTTTGAAGAATGTTGTTATACATGCATTTGTCTTTTCATAGTTTGGGAGTACACACATTTTTAATGCAAAACTGCAATAGAGTATCTGGTCTTTTTTTTTCCAATTATCAATAAAGTTGGCAATTTTGTGCCCTGTAAGTGCATGGATCCATTAATATTTGTGCACACAATGCATTTTTCATAGAAGGACAAGATAAATGATAAATGACTCGCACTTGTATAGCGCCTCAGAGTAAGGACTCCAAAGCGCTTTACACTACAGTGTATCATTCATCTATTCACACACTCATTCACACACTGGTGGGGATGAGCTACGATGTAGCCACAGCTGCCTAGGGGCACACTGACAGAGGCTAGGCTGCCCAGCACAGGCGCCACCGGTCCCTCCGACCACCACCAGCAGACAAGGTGGGTTAAGTGTCTTGCCCAAGGACACAACAGTAGAATTCTCTGTCCAGAGCCGGGATCGAACCTGCAACCTTCCGATTACTGGACAACCCGCTCAACCAGTTGAGCTACTGCTGTGGAATCCCTCTCTCCTATAGCAAAACAAGTCCATCGTAACTGCACTAATCATAATTTTTTACCTGAACAGTAGATCCAATCACTGTTGGTGGGAAAACCAGAAGTAATTTAACATTTGTGCAGCACCAGACTTAACTTTTTGGTTTTGCCGTAGCTACATTTGTGCTTCATTCAGAGCCTCGGCATATGGCACCAAAGAAAGCAGTTAAAAGTAGCAACAGTACAGTACCTGCCAGGCACCCAACAGAAGATGAACACTGAGTAACTATTTGGTGAACACAGTGGAGCGTTTAGCTCACGAATAGCCAGTTCTCCCCCTCAGGAGTCTGAGAAAAGTGTTGAAGCTCAGATTTGTTGGACGAGCACAAACACGACTCCGGTGATTGCCAGTGTTGCTGAATGTTTGATGTATAAACAAGCAACAGTGTGCCAGTCTGTTCACATATTACATTTATAATGTCGTTAGCCTCCAATGATATTTTTCCTCTAAAGGTGCCATAAAAATACTGTAGGAAACAAAGGAAAATATTAAAATGGACAATCACTTATGTTATTGAATCAGACGTCCACCATCTGTAATACACATTACACACAGTACAGAGGCTGAACCTCACACAACACACCAAGCACTGCAAAACTCAGAGATTTACAGCGACCGAGAAGAAAAAAATGGCACTCTTCAGCAAAGACAGACACCAAACGCTCGGGGCAAGGCAGTGTGAGAGATAATAGCGCAGAGGCCAGCCTCCGATGCTTTCACTGATGCCAGAGCTGCTCAGGACTGTTGCACGTGAAGCGCTTAGAGGTGACGGCAGCTGTTTAGCTCTTTAATCATGGTACAACTGGGCCTGGGCTCCATCCAAACCCGCTGATGTAAAGCTGATGAAAATTTTGACACAGAACACAAAGAAGAAAATGCACCTACCTGCATTAGCTCCAACACCTACCCGACTCCGGCCTCGCCTAATGGAAGCCCGGATCTGCAGCCATGATGATTTTAATCAGCTTTGTGAATTCAAGATGCAGAATGATGCTGTGTTTGTGGGAGTCTTTTTAAATGCAAATGACATTGTGTCTGAGGGGATTATGGTAGTTATGCTCATTTGTGGGGGTTTTATTTTCTTTGTGTGTATTTTGGTGTAGGTATGAGGCAGCAGAATGACCGTGGTACACAGTATCGTTCAGCCATTTATACATCCAACCCTACTCAACAGGAAGTGGCTCTGATGAGTAAAGTGGTCTTCCAGCAGGTACACACACACACACACACATTTTATTCTTTTGTGTATGGTTTTTGCCTTTAAACTAATCATTTAGGAATTTTAAGTTGAAAGTATTGATTCATGTGTTTGATGTTTCTAGAAAGAAGAGATTTCTTAAAGACTAAGTTCACTTGTTTTTTCAAAACATCAGCATCATCTCTAGTATTTTTAGCCACTTTTAGAAAAAAATGCTGCAAATTTGTCACGATGCTGAGCCGGCATCTGGCAGCTTTAGGTCATTAATAAGTGGTCAGATTGTGGCAGTAATGTGGCGCAATCACGTCCGTTTTACAAAAGATTACGCAATGGCGGTAAAACGGGGGTACAGGGGTGGTCTCTGTGCTGCTGCGGACTTCCGTTTATCTTGGACATAACTTGCTTTTTATTGCAATCAAAGCCGCGATCATTAATTGTTTTTCACAAGCCTCGCCTAAAGGTGTCTGTCCTTGTGCAGTCTCTGGTGATCTGACCTCCAGCTCTAATGGAGAGGAGGTCCTGGAGCTCTGCATCACTCCAGTTTATCATCTCAGCTGATTGTGTTTACAAAAGTGAAACTATTGATTGGTTTTACTTTCATTTTTCATACAGTTTCGTGGTAGTAACTCTCCACATGATCATGATGCCTTCCTCTGCTACGCCAAGGCGTAATTTGTGTTCACAAGTCTAGCGTCATGGTAATATTACTACCGTAATTTCCGGACTATAGAGCGCACCTCAATGTAAGCCGTACCGGGCTAAAAGACGCAGATATCTACTGAATTGAAAACGTAGTTTAACTGAATGTAACTGAACTGATCAGCATCAAACAAAACAGAAATGTTATTGATTAGTTTATTCATCGTCCTCCTGCGCACTGAAACCACTGAAGTCATCTTCTTCAGTGTCGGAGTTGAACAGCCTCAGAAGAGCTTCGTCACATACCTTTTCTGTGGCGATGTCAGTGTCACTCTCCGTGTTGCTGTCATCATCCCGGGGTGAAGCTGGGAAAACAAGCGGCGCCGTTTTACTGTGAAAAAAATCCTCCTGGGCGCTTTCCGTTGCACACCTTTAACCATTCCTTCGCGCATTCCTGGTTGACTAAAGTCGCACCTTATAATAAGCCGCATGGTTCAAAGCGTGGGAAAAAGTAGCGGCTTATAGTCCGGAAAATACGGTACTAAGTGTGGTGGCATGAATGCCACAAAATTCCCGCATTGCCATGTTGCCACGGCACATTCATTAGACACACCAAGGCGGCAGTAGTACGCTGATTTCCCGGCATGGTGTGTCTTTTAAAAAGGACTGTTGTATTTCTTGTGAGTTGATCTCTGTGAGACAAAAGGTGCTCCTGTTTTAGGAACTAGAAGTTAGCAGAAGACGGCTGGATTTGGAGTCCTATTATTTCACATTCGGACATTTCACCTCTGATTGGATTACAGCATTACGACTCTACCACTGACTCTGTTTGCTTTGCAACTTTGATGTTTTATCTCCAAAAAATAGCAAAGCCTGGAGGAGTTCTGCCAAGTTGTGGAGTTGCTAATGCTAACGGTTAGCTTCTACTAATCAAGACGTGCTTCGTTCTCCTGGACGCTAAACCAACAACAATCTTCCTCATTGTGAGCCAAGGTGGGCGAGTCCATGAACGCTAATTTGCAGTGTGACGTAGATCTGACTGGCTTTTCTAATCCCAGCATTTCCCCCTCTATTTTCTGTCTCTGACTGAAGCAGGAAGTAGGGGTAGAAGACTATTTTCATGTTAAACTCAGAGTGACCGATCATATTTCAAAAATAAAGACAAATATGTTTGAACTTGCTCTTTAAAAAAAATGAAGCTGAACTAATTTTGCAAATCTTTTCAGCCATTAAACAAGACTATATTGTAGTTGTAAGTTGTCCTGCTTATTTGAATAACAATGGGAACCTCATGGCCTCTTATGCTGCTTATTTAAACAAAATCAGCTCTGTTTAAATTGTATTTATCTACATGCACTCAGTGACACCCTCACTTTTAGGGTGAATGAGTTAAAGCGGGTCAGTAGGTCATCCCAACTGATATCCAATGCTCTAATTTCTTTAGCCATCCATCTGTCCATCCGTCCACTCTTCTGGTGCTCCTGTGCCTTTAGAGCTCCCTTTCTCTTCTGAATGGTATTCACAAGTGAGCTGCAGAGGTTTTAGAGGGGGGCAAATGATCATTGACATGGTTACTTTTGGGCTCTTGGGGTCAGCGGTCGCAAACCACAGAGGCCGTTAAGTTGCCGTGGTAACAACCTTCCAACCTTGGCCTTGGGCTTGGGTCAGAGGTGAGGGGAGGAGTGGCAGCTGAGACCAGCGCCGTGTGGAGGTGGAGAAAGACAAAAAACTAAAGAGAGGGAGGAAACTATATCAGAGAGCAGTTGCTGTCAGGCTGTCAACTGAAAACTGACCCCTACACACACACACACACACACACACACATATAAAGGGACATTAGATAGGCTTAGGCAGGTATCAGAAAGCAGGAAGGGCTAGAATAGGTAACCATCACGTAGAGGGACTTTTCTGCCTGCAGAACTACCTTCAATGGCGCAGTCGCATTACTCGCCCTGCGATCTTCAGCAAAGTTCACTTGGAGGAAGTGTGCAATAAGGTTTCGAGTGTGTAGTACACAAGTGTGCAAATAATCACTGAATATGGCCAGTGACCATTATTGCGTCATCGACAACGACGCATACAAACAAAACTGACGAGCACTGCTGTCCACATTAAATCGCAGTCTAAGACATTCATGGATAAATATCAGTCATCTTAAAAATAACTTATTTTGTTTAAAAATAATTTTTTTCAGAAAAGGCACTCGAGCCCTTGCTCCGCCTTCTTCCCAAAATTCCCACACAGCAATGGATTGTGGGTAAATACACTTTCGGATCAATTCAGACTTGAGCTAAGTGTAAATCCAGGTTACAAAAGGGGCGTGGCCAACATCCGCACTTGAGGACACTACACACTCGCACCCCTGGGCTGGAAGTGCGAGTATTGGGATTGGGCCAGTCTTTGATACTGGGAGCTTTTGTCAGAGATTTTGGTTCATACTGTCATGATGGCATCACACAGTTGCTGCACATCCATGATGAGTCCAGCCAGCTCTTTGTCCACTATGGCCATAAAGCAAAGGATATAGCCGCTGTGGTGTCCCCCCCCCCCCCCCCCCCCCCCCCCCCCCCACCTCCACCCCCAATCGTTAGAACAGCCGCAGCACGAACCATCGATACAAGGCAGCATGGCTCAAAGTTTTATGTTATTTCCACCAAATTCTGATCCAAAAATCTGAACGTTGCTGCTTAAGTTGAGACTGATCAGACCAGGAAACATTTTTGTAGTCTTTTCTCCTCTGACTCTTTTAGGCCATCTTCTAAACCTTCGAGATGGTTGTGGGTGCAAATCCGAGCAGTTTGGCAGATTCTTACTCAGACCAATAACCATGACCCTAAAATCTCATTCCTAACTCATTTTGACGCTCATTTTTGAGCTTCAAGAAGCTGTCTTCCACACCCATGTGCACCGAGTCGCTGCTTTTTGATTGTGTTAACAAGCAGTTAATCAGGTATGCCTAATAAAGTGGCTAGGGGGTATTCGTCTTTCTTCACAGGGCTTTATCTTCTGATACACTTAATGGATGTGTAGACACAATACCTGCTGAATTTTCAAAGTTAGTGCATGACATTAATTTAGTAAAAACAAACAGTAATGGGAGGCTCTCAAGTAATGGTGCACAAAAAAGTTACGTTGAGCTTTATCGACTGACAGTCGAGGAAAAGCTGTGAACCTCATATCCCAGCCTCACAAAACCCACTTTTACAGGCACCAAGCAGCGTTCCGACATCCCTCTACCCTCCCATCTGCTCTCCCCACCAACGCTGCTGACACCAGCGATCTGTCAGCCACTTTAGCGGCACCCCAGTTCCATCTAAGGGCGACTGGGACCCACTTCTTGTTCAAGCAGCTGACATGCTGAACCAAAATGGCAGCGTCCTGCCCTGAAATGGAGGAAGGCTCGAGCGGCCGAGGTTTGGTTATAATTTTTTCCCAAAAGGGCTTTTTGGCAAAACATCAGCAAAAAAAGGAGACATGTTCACCAGGGTGATGAGAGTGGGTGGGTGGGGGCGATCTTAAAACGACCAGAGATGAGGCGGGCATCGCCAAAAAAATCAAAAATTCAGATTCCACCCAAGCGTCGGCCCGTGAGTCACAACGTGCTCTCACTGGCACACGCAAACACACATCTGGCACAGTCCAATGAATAATTAACCCATATGAAGAGTCTCCTCTGCAAGGCTTTCACTTCCTTAACTTCAGCGATGAGGGGGGAGGTTTGGCGGGGGTAAGAGAGGGAGGCAGAAAAGCTTGTTTAAGCGCGAGAACAGAGAGGGAGGGGTGGCGAGGGAGCAGAGAGAAGGGGGTTGTCTATAATGAAATTTGAAATTTGCAGAACATCAAAGGCTTTTGTAGCCCAGCCGCTGTGGCAGCAGAGCAGAGAGGAGGAGGAGAGCTTCTCCTTCTCCATCTCCCCCCGCCCCAACCCTCCATCTCTCTTCTTCCCCTTCTCTCGCTCGTTCCATCCCTCCATTCTCGGCTGAAAAGTGTCTCCCTAGAGCTGGGTGTGGGGTTTAGCGGAGGGTGAGGGAGAAGGGATGGGAAGAGTTGATTAGGAGGAGAGAGCGGGGTGGGGGTGGCTCAGAGACGGGTTAGGGGTTTAGAGGGAGAGAGGGAGAGAGAGAGAGAGAGAGAGAGAGAGAGAGAGAGAGAGAGAGAGAGAGAGAGAGCGAGAGAGAGAGAGAGAGAGAGAGATGAGCTGGGGCTTCTGCCTGCCTGTGTGTGTGTGTGTGTGTGTGTGTGTGTGTGTGTGTGTGTGTGTGTGTGTGTGTGTGTGTGAACAATAGGTTTTATCAATCCAGTTTCAATATTTGTGTGTGTGTGTGTGTGTGTGTGTGTGTGTGTGTGTGTGTGTGTGTGTGTGTGTGTGTGTG